TCCAAGATGTTATTGTAATATGAAAATAATATATTCTTGGTGTACTTCTGTTGCATCTTGCCCACACCTTCAGAGCATTTGTAATCAAAGTTCTAAAAGTTTTGGGGCTATATTGAGTAGTTGGTTACATCTTAAAATTATTAGGTGTCCTATTTTGGTTCACAAAATAAATGACTATTAATCAAAATTAATAATGTGAAGTATTGCTCATACTTATTCATGCCTCACTGCACACATGATGAACAGTTACTCATATCAATGGAAATTTACATCTTTCCTTAAAAGTATTTAAAGACAGCATGGTTTTAAATTATCTTTGCATTTGGATTCATGTCTTTTTGAAAGTCCTAACTAAAAATATTAATTAGTAGTCATATTCTTGCAATTTTTTGTCCAATACAAAAAGCATAACAACTGGTGTTCTCTTTTAGTATCAAAGAGTGTGAATTTTCATAAAAGGCTTGTTTTAGATTATATTTTGGATTTTTAAGTTGTAATATTTTGTGAATGTGTCATATTTTTTTTTAAAAAGTCAAGGAACCCTTGGTGTGCGGAACACGGGGGAGGGTGTGGGGGGTCCCGTCCCCAAGCACCTGTGGGTAAATCTAGTGATGATAATGGCCCTTTTTAACAGTGGTAGTTGTATTATTAGCTAAATTACTGTTTCTTAACTTCATATTTCATTAAATAACTGCTCCATAATTACTAAGAGTGCAAATTTCTTAAAGCTAGAAACTGCTTTGTAAGTTACTAACTGCCTTGCACTTCCTTGGGATCTTACCTGCTAACGACACGAGCACCGCCATTCGAATGAGGATATATTCAAAGTGAGGACTATCCACTGGGTATTTCACCACATCGTCCAGGACGAACATCTGGTAAATAAGGAAAAATTATTGAAAAATAGTTTGTGTTAACATTTCTGGTTGACTCAGTTTATCAATTTAACAACATTAAAAGAAAAGAAAAACGTCAATTAAACTTGCCCTATAACATTGAATAAAATCATTAATTTGGAGACGACTGACCTGCGTTAAGAATTTATAAAAATCCATGCATTATCATTTAGAACACATCAACTGATTCAACGGATATACCTCACACACACATTCTGCAGGGCAACTTTCATGGCGGCGATGAACACAAAAGAACAGCAGAAAATTCCCACCAAAATAAACACGTGACCAAAGATCAAAGTGCATCCAATGAAAAACAAGGTTCACCAACCTATATATTCTATTTATAGCATCAGAGTGGAAAAGGAAAGTATTTGCCACCAGCGACCTTGCACTATTATCAGATTATAAACCATGTAAACTGACACGCGAAAGAAACGTAACAAGCAGTAAATTACAAATATCTGATTTTTTTTATCTGATGATTTTCAGAAATGAATATAGTAAGGTAAAACTTGATTTAAAAATATCAGAGATTTGATAAAAATGTTGAATGTTATCTTTTAACTTTAGAAAATAACACATAACTGTTTAACACCCCCCCCCCCTTCCGGCCATTCAATCACAGCGTGCAAGTCCGCCATGCACAACATTTGCAGCTCGATTTCTGCGATGCATTAGTTTCATCAACCTCTTGATCTGAGTGAAAGAAGTATTCTTTGGCATTTTTAAGTGCCTGTTTTTTTTTTTTTGTTTTTTTTTCAGATGCTTAGGTTGAATTCTCTTGAACCTAGCGCAGTGTAGTAACCCTTGGACTTCGGTCCACGGACAGTTCATGCTAATGATACGTATGAGCCTGATGAGGCGTGATGTAGTGCATATTTGCATTTGCAACTCTTCTTCACCCTTATTTAGAGAAGTTCCAACTAGAGCAATGGAAATGCGTACTTAATTTAAGTCATTTTGAGGAAGCCTTGACATCACGTCAGGAAAAGAAAGGAGATTTTTTTCGGAATATTGCTGCATTACTTATAATGAACAGATACAAACCCTTGAAACCAAATTATTGCCAAATGTTTTGTTAAAAAAGCAATTTTTGATATCTGTTAAGCGCACTCAAACTTAACTTCCGGTGTTGTAGAATAGGATTTCCCCCATAGCCACCTTTCCCCCTGGAATCTGTACTCTAGAGTAACCCCCCCCCCCCCCCCAGGGGAAATCTCACACTAGAGCCAAATTTCCCCCTATTTCTTTCTCAGAGCAGGATTTCCCGTATTTTACCAATGCTTAAATCATATCGACAATATTTTGGCTGAAAGATTATTTAAAAGTCAACTGATTTTTTAGTGGAAATATGAATGTTTCCCACTCAAGAATTGTCAAATTAAGTATGAAATCTTAGAATATATAGTTCAAATTATTGAGTCTCAACACAAAATTTTAACTTATAGGAAATTTTAAATTTAGTCACTCCAAATTTTGTGCGGAGATTCGATATCTCAACATCTTCTGTCGGCACAGTGGTACCTGTTTGTTCACGAACTGTAAAATGTATATCAGGCCACCTTTACTGATACAATAAATAAATTTGTTTACCCTTAAAGGCCCAGTGTTTTATCTATGAGTCGATCCTTTTTACGAAGAGTGTGTGAGAAAATTCTAAAATTTGTCAGTGTTATTGATGGGTTAGATATACCATTTTGTGAGTATTTGAATCGAACGGATCTTCAAGGGGAAAAAAGAAAAAAAAAGCCAAAACCAAGAGCAAATCAAAACAAGAAACCTGCATTTGCAAACCGAAGTATAAGTATGTCCTTCGACCCAGCGGTGTAAAACTAGCATTGGATTTGAAAGCAGAGAGCAAATACTCTCTTTTAGTTTTGCAAAATATTTCTTTCAGAAATTGATGACCTACTTTTAGTTTTATAGCAACAGCAGTTGTTTTTGATATTTATAAACCAGAATCTTGGAGAGACACTTACACATCAATATTGTGTACATATATTTTGAAATATAATTGAAGAAAAAAAAATCCATTTAAAATAAAAATCTGTCTACAACCGATTACATTATTATAATGATTATACCATTTTTTTAATTTTTTTTTTCTTTTTCTTTTTTTTTTTTTGTCAGAAACCAGTTTGACCAGATGAAAAGAGTAAGATTTTGCTTCGAGAGAATTGGTTTGACAGTTAATATGAGAAATATGAGATTTAAAGTTTTCAATTGTTCCAATGGACCTGGTCGCCGTTTTGAAGAAGGGACACTTGTAACAATATGTCCCCCCACACACTTAAGTACAGTCATGATATTTCACTGGGGGATTGGCTCAGGGGGAAATAGCACTCTATAACTATTACACAGCGTAGGACCCCCCCCCGGAAAACTGAATCTGGTGTGGGATTTTCGTAGGGGAAATCCTACTCTAGAGTCATTTTTCCGTGAGAGATGACCGGTAATGGTATGGAAATCATTCAACCGTTAAATTACCTATTTTGCAAAGTTGAAGATGTCCTTACTTTTTCAGTACAAAGTTATACTCTAATATTTCCATCCTAAAATAGGGTTTTGCGTTTCAGTATAAGATGGTCTCAAGCGCAGATTCATGGATCTTTTCCAGGAGGATAGGGGTGGCAACTTCTTTTTAAAAATCCAATCCAGAAATTTATTCTGGTCAGAAACGTACTTTCAAGATGTGTATTGGGGGGAGGGGGGGGGGGGCTTTTTTATTACACAAGATATTATTTTAATGATTTATGACGAAAAAAAAACATTACTTTTACCAAAAATATGCCGAGTAGGGACCTAACTTGTGTTGGTAGGAAAAGTCATACATATGAAGTCGAGCGGCTAACCCCCCACCCCACCGCCATAAATAGTTTTTTTTCACGATTTTAGAACGAGAAACAAGTTAATTTTTTTTTTTCGAAGGACCGGTCTCAGAGTCCCACAGTGGAATTCAAACCCGCGAATCAACTCAAATCAAGTCAACTCCTTATTCCGCGGCTGTAGATAGAGCAAACGCTCTAACTATTGCGCCACCCGGGCGACTCACCCGGAGATAGGGACACTTGGTCTGTTCCCGTAAAGCACCGCGTCGTTGCACCTCTAAAGATATAACATTCTATACCTTTGGTTTCACATTATACACTTGTATTGATTATTGCTAATAACTAGAAATAATGCCTTTTGAGATATTTCATTTTTTTTTTGTAACTTTACAAATTATAAACCTCATAAATCATAATCTTCGCTATTTTTATATACAGAAATATGATATCTTTAAAAACAACAATTTCTGCATTTTTTTAAGTGAGTGTATTTAAACAGACATAGAAAAATGTGACTTGTACCGTAATCTATATATATATATATATATATATATATATATATATATATATATATATATATATATATATATAGAACAGGATTTCCCCCATTGAAAAATGACTCTAAATTATGATTTCCCCTACGGAAATCCTACATCAAAATCAATTTCTATTCTCTGTAATAGTTATAGAGTACGATTTCCCCCAGAGCCAAATTTCCCCCCTCATTAAATATCATGGTTATACGTATGTATTGTGGAGCCAATCATGACCCCAGGGGTCTAATGAAGCTTTTACATAAATTTTACATAAGTTTCATCTTTTCTTGCCCAGTGGTTCTTGAGAAGATTTTTAAAAGAAGCCACCAAATTTTCATGAATTCTTAATTATATGTCTCCTTGAAAGAGGGCATGGCACTTCCTGTGAACAAACTTGAATCCCCTTCACCCAAGGATGCTTTGTGGCAAGTTTGGTTGAAATTGGCCCAGTGGTTCTTGAGAAGAAGTTGAAAATGTGAAAAGTTTACAGACAACAGACGGATCCCGGACACTCTATGATCAGAAAAGCTCACGAGCCTTCGGCTCAGGTGAGCTAATAATATGATTAGCTCTTTTGTCTTAACTACAACATGTCTTTGAGACATTAATGTCAAGGTCACTCAAGGATAAAAACATGGTACTTGATAAAACAGTTCTGTACATAGCTTATGTTGAAAATTTAGTATTAAAAGGGGGTGAACACTTACAAAAAATTAAAAATAAAAACCAACGCAATAAACCTTATCTTTTGTTTAATTACACATTTCACAACACAGCATCAAGATTTAAATGTAGAGATGATTTAAAATCTCTGGATATACTGTATAAGAATGGAGCAATAGCAAAGCAATGGTACATTGTATTCTTATGATAAAAATTGACATATGTCAATCTACATAAAATCTATAAATGGCAACCAAAAGCTTATTTCATTTCAATACATTTCTGAATATTTAATTGGAAGAAGATCTACAATTGAGAGGAAAATTCTGAAATATAATGAAAATGACTTATTTATGTAGGTATTTCTGAGGTTGCACAATTTTTGCAGTTTAGGCAAAGTTGCAAAACCTACAATCATAAATATTTCAACCCTACATATTTCCTTAAAAAAAATTCTAACACAGAACAGAATGCTACCTTAGGAAGATCAGAAATATCAAACCACTATAATTTTCTGTTATTCAGTATTTCTCTCAAATGGGAAGAGTTATTATTAAAGTGTAAGTTTTACGCAATAAAGATAAGTAGGAAACTGAAATGTTGCATGACAGAAAATATACATGACTAGATATAATAATAGGTAGCACAATTGTAAAATATGCATTCCAGTTTCCTTCAAAATACAGAGATCTCAATTGAAATTGTAAAACCTGTAGACCAGCTACTAATGCTCTGAATAGAATTCTAAAAATATATGTGCATGTTATGAAGCAGCCCTCCAATAATAAAAATATAATTCATAAAAATAATACTATGTAAATAATCACTAACACAAATCACAGAAAATGGTATGACTAGATTTGTAGCAAATGTCAGAGGTGAAGTTTATATCTAACATTGACCCATTGTACATGACAGGCACCTTAAAGACACTATGGGAATGTTCATGTTGGATAACTGCTGGAATGTCAAGGTCATTTGAAAAGTCACAAAACATGGCCTATAACAATTCACACAGTACTTTCTCTTTGTGATCATATCTGCAAGAGTAAATAATACATTTTTTTTTTATAAATATGAACCTATAATACAACATCGAAATGGTAGTTATAATACATGTAGTTTGGAATTTGTGACCTGGGAATTACAAATGGAATTAGCAAAAAAAAAAAATCCATTTTTAGATATCAAAATACCTTGTAAAGATTGTGGCAATTCTTTTATTTTGTCCACTGGATGATTGTGTACAGCCCTGGCACTTAACTCAAGCAGTGGTGGAATTTTACAAGTCAGTGGAACACATGTTATGGAATGCTCACTTGAGATGAAATCATTATCTGAAACTGCAACAACAAAAAATGAAAACATGCATAGTGATTAAATACTGATGATGGGGAAATTAGTATGCATTTCTACTGAATGACCACTGAAAAAATATGGTAATCAGTAATGTATGTCCTACCATTACAGTCCACAATGGTACCAAGTACTAGGGTGGATGGAATGTACCGCAGTTTATTTCCTGCTAAGTTCAGTCTGGTCAAATCACGTAGCTGGCCAAAATGTGCAGGTATATCTGTTATTCTGATTTTAAAAAAACAGAAAAGGATTTTGAATATGTTCAATCAAAGACAATGAAATTTCAAAAATCAGCTTAAATACTAAAAAATTAAGACAATAATTAAGTAATCTCTGACTATCTCCCTGCTGCAGCCACATGCAACAGAAAAATACAAAATCAATTTATCTGAGACCAGTAGACTTCTTGAACTAGGAGCAAGCACCAGTAAACACATGAACTAAAAGAACAATTTGTGATTTAGTATGCATCTTATGCTTTTATATTATATGAAAATAGTTTAATGGAAAACATTTTCATTTTGTGTAAAAAAAAAAATCTAAATCTTGTAATGTCAGACTCAAATAGTCTTCTTTTTGGTTTAGTAGAAGAAGGAGAAAAGTGTTTGGTACAAAGGTGCCTCCTACTAACACTGATGCTCTACTTCATGAGCTCACTCACAAATTCTGTCACAAATTATCAAATATACTTGTACCTATAGAAAAGTTAACCTGCCTGATATTATAAAGGCAAATCTTACCTGTTATTAGAAATATCAATTTTTCGGAGTGCACTACAGGAGCCCAGCTCTCTGGGAATCGTAGACAGCTGACAGTGTGACAGGTTGAGATATTCCAACTCCAGCAGATTACTCACATCTCCTGACAAACTGTCAATTTTATTTTTTTCGAACTTCAAGACCTAGAAAATAGTCAGCAATGATTTTTTTTTTTTACACAGATCTAATAGGGCCTACTACACAGGTAAAGACTGTGTGCAAGCACTGTATTTCAACAACTCCCTCTATATGCTACTGAAGTTTTTACTGTGATGTACTAGAGTTATCTAACTTACCTTCAAATGTGTCAATTTGTATAAATTCTTTGGTATATGCGATATGGAGTTAGAACTGAAAAAAAGGTACCAATCCATAATATTTCAGTTTTTCTTAATCAGGATTTTTTTTTTTTATTCATTATTACTACATTTTATTGACTGGGTTCAAGGGAAACACGCATTTTGTAGGACCTAAGAACCAAACTGTTTGCCTGAGGCCATTTGGCCATAGGCAAACAGTTTGGTTTGAGGGGTCGGCAAAACACTTTTGCCCAAGAACACAGTCAATAAATGTTTTGTTATACCTTTTATTTATCCATTTTATTATTATTATTATTTTTTTGACATACATGTATGTCGAACACCAACGAATGCAAATGAGATTTAGCTGATCCCACCCACTGTGTAACGTGAGGGGTCCAATATCTCATTGACAAGTCCAATATCTCGCTCTGCGGTCAAACATCGATTTTTTTTTATGACCGCTCAATAAAACATTGGAAATGATAAGACCTCTATTAGTACTGATTTATATAAGAACAAATTTTTAAAGGTATAACAAATACATTTATCATCAGACTGTAAATATCTCTTTCAATATTTCCAAATAAGGTTCCATTCAAATCAGACTACTAACTCTAGATGTTTGCATTTAGATTACAGATTTTTCTTCATACAGAATTCAGCCATGCCATATATTTTTTGTACTTGCCACATCACACACATACCCTAACTTTAGACAGGACAGTTTTAAGAGGCTCCCTATTCCAGAGGGCAGTGATTGTAGTTTGTTTTTTCGAACATCAAGATGAACAAGGTTAGACAAGCTAGTTAGTGATTCTGAAAGCCAAAATTTGTTATTAGTGGATCAGGTAATTTAAAGGCCCCAAACTGATTTTAATAAAATACTGAGTGGATTTATGGTTTAGCCATCCAAAATAAATTCTACATTTTACCACTGGTCAATACTTGAAAACCTTTGAGGGAGGAATGAAAATTAAACAGAAAATTGAAACATGATATCAATGTATTAAATTGGGTATTGTATAATAAAAATGTTCACAAGACAGGATGAAATATGGAATCATTTTAATTTGTGGACCATCAAGTTTCTTAGGGAACCCCAAACTCACTGGTTTGTGGGGACATAATTTTGTGGGTAATTAGTATATTCATTAGATTCATTGAACCAATACATTGGCAGAGTTATCATTCATAGGCATGTAAATTTATGGGTAAGATTGACCCACATAATAAACAAACATTGGTCCCCTACGAACAATGATGATTCCACTGTATCCCATTCCAAAAATTCATCAGCACTATACATCTTAACTTTATTGTGTCACAATATCATGAAAACAAATGCAGAATTTATTTAGGATCGTCTTGCATTTTCAATGAAAATAAGTTATTAAATTGAGAATAAACATCTGAAAAACTTACCTGCTAAACCCATAAGATGATTATGTGACAATTTCAACACTTTAAGGTTGACTAGAGAACCAATACTGTCCTACAAACAAAACGTGCATTTGTACAACATTGTATTCAGAAAGGACACACATCCTCATCAGAGATTGATAGCTAGATGGACAAACAGACAGACAGACAGAAGACTTACTGGTATAGAGGTGATGTTATTGTTGTTCAGCAGTAACTCCTGCAGACCCCTCAGACAACCTATTTCTGCTGGGATATGACTAAGATTGTTGTGGGACAGGTTTAGAAGAGTCAACTGAGAACCAATGTACCCCATTCTGTAGGGGCATTCTGTGATTTCAGTGTTGCTAAATTAATATAAAAGACTAGACATTGCAACAGCATTTTTTAAAATAAATACATAGTGAATAGTCAATGCATACATGTACTATTAGTACATGATGCAGCATGTCATCATCATGCTTTTACCACATTTTTACAAAACATAAGAGATACTCTTCTGAAAACATTATCAGTAATTATGTTTTATATCTCATGAACATGTCTATCTTCAAGCTTCATAACATACCCTTGTATAAAAAAAAAACATATACAGAGGCTTAGCATCCAGAGGGCAATTACACCAATGAAACAACTACATTATAGGTTAAAATAGGAATAAGACCTTGTAAATCTTTTACAAATTCATGTGATATACAATGGAAAATCCGTCAATCTGAAATTTTATGGTTGTGGCAAGTACATGTAAAACCATTGCTCATACTGCTGCAATTGCTCTTACATCAAAGGGGATTTACTCTTATATCTTCCAATTATAAAAAATTCATTTCAGTTATCTGCACATTTCATTAATCCAAATAATTTGTTTGGGGAATACAAGTGTCCAGATTAATGAGGCTCATCTTTATACTGTTCTTTAGAGAATTTAAATATTATATATAATTTTCAATTGAAAAAGATTGGTTTCAGTATTGAACTTCATTAATTATGTTAATCCAAATGATTTGCTTGGGAACACAAGTGTCCAGATTAACAAGGGACGACTGTATATTTATGGAGTACTTCTGAAAATCTTTATGAAAAGTTCTTCAAACTCCAGATTTTAACACTTTCTCATTCTTGAGATGCCTTTTTGATTTGGAATGTACCCTAGCCAGCAATGAAGCAAAGTGACATCTTATCTAAGTATTATTCAATACAAGACGGTTCCTACCTTAAATTTATTTCTGTCATTCCTTTTTTCTTTGTGTTGTAAGGTCTTCTGATGTTTTCTGACACATAATGAGTAGAGCATGATGAGGGTGCTAGGCAGCAAATGTTACAGGTAACAAACCTACAGGTGTAATCTGCAATATACTGGCCACATCTACAACAGACAGCAAATATTACAGGTAACAAACTTATAGGTGTAATCTACAATGTACTGGTCAAACCTACAACAGACAGCAAATATTACAGGTAACAAACCATAGGTGTAATCTGCAATATACTGGTCAAATGTACAACAGACCATAAATGTTACAGGTAACAACCTACAGGTGTAATCTGCAATATACTGGCCACATCTACAACAGACAGCAAATATTACAGGTAACAAACTTATAAGTGTAATCTACAGTGTACTGGTCAAACCTACAACAGACAGCAAATATTACAGGTAACAAACCTGCAGGTGTTAACTGCAATATACTGGCCACATCTACAACAAACGGCAGATATTACAGGTAACAAACCTATAGGTGTAATCTACAATGTACTGGCCACATCTACAACAGACAGAAAATATTACAGGTAACAAACTTACAGGTGTAATCTACAATGTACTGGTCAAACCTACAACAGACAGCAAATATTACAGGTAACAAACCTACAAGTGTAATCTGCAATATACTGGTCAAATGTACAACAGGGAGTGACATAGTGAGAAGTCAACAGGGAGTCTGAAATTCACTTATATTTTATGTAATTATACTTTTTTTACTAGACTCATTTTTATTCATTCATGAAAGAAGTTTTCAAGAATAAAATGGGACAATTTACACTTATATACATGCTTTGTTGTTTAATAAGGAAATGATTCCAAATTAATTAAAGGGTATGAAACAAGTCACACACATCCCTTGAAGTAAATGATATCCTTTTTGGGGGGAGATGAAACTATCATCAAAGACATCACCACCTTATCATAATCACAATATTAAGATAAATTTGATTTAGCTCTCCATCCAGCATATGTACAATGCAAACTTCTTTCCCCCTGGTAACCCTGACCTTGTATATAAAGTATCCATGAGTCGGGAACACATCATCAGGATAAATAAGCAACCTTTGTGTAAAAGATCTTTACAAAATTTCACTTTTTGGCCAGTGACCTTGAACTTGCCAAATGGACCCAAAATCATTCAAAATCTACACCATAATACATTTTCAGTTAGAAACAATCTTTGGGACAAGTATTAACTCAAAAATGTGCTGTTATTACAAATTCATGCTGAGGACAAGAGATTTACAATCCTGACTACACCCCACCCTCCAAAAAAAAATTATTTAAATATCAGTTCTCTGCATTATATCACAATTTGAATTTTATGAACAAACTGAATCCTTGCCTGCCTGGTGATGTTTATAACAGTGTAGTAAGTTCACATATTTAACCATTTACCATACCCACCAGACATTTTACTCATCATCAGGTCCTGACCTCTCCATAAAAATACCTACATGCATAATCAATTACACTGAGGCTGTTACGTGATAAGGTGCACATTATTATGCAGCTAGGTACAACTGTTTCCAATTAAACAATTGATGTAAGGAGATTTAGATAGGTATGTAAACAAGGCCTTTGTTAATACTGATATATATTCTATCATGATGGTATATTACAGAATGACACATACCAATTAATATTACTGCACAACTATAAATCAATTCATGAATGAAAATACTGCACACAGAAAAATCCCATGGAGCTGCAAAATTTCTCGCATAGAGAATGAGAATCAAATCAATGGATTTTATTAACTCACAAATAGTTAATGGAGATTGATTTTTACTTACTGAACACAGGGTACTTCAATTTCCTCACTAACAGTCACATCATCTTCAGAACTTGAGGACTTCAAAAGAAAGCACATACAGCTAAAAATTTTGATATTAATACTTTACACATAGCAACAGGACACCTTATAATCAAAGTGTAATTTAAGATTTCAAGGCTCACTTGAAAAATGTCATCTAAAAAATCATTGTCAAATTAAATGAAAATTTAAAAAAAAAGATTTCTTTATTAATTAACATATCACCCTCATAGCATTATGGTTTCTATTTTACAAAGTATATAAGTTACAGGCAGAATGCTAGTGGCCTGTACATTACAAGTCAGTGCAGGAGAAATAATTCTTCATATATTAATTTGTTCCTGAAATATGTTTATATGATTGACAAATTATCCATCCTTCTGTCTGGCATGACAATTTAGTCTAGAATTTTAAATCTGGACTCATTCAGTGAAATATTGATGCAAAACAGCATCTAATATATCCTTGGACTCATCATCTAAAGAAATTTAGTCTGTAGTTACTTAGCAATGGGCCTTCTCCAAAATCTTGCTGAAAGGCTAACTATTTTTTCATACATATGTGAGATTTACAATGACAAGAGCTAAATATTAATTAAAGATCACATTTCACAGAAATCAGAATCCATCCCTCCCCTTATCTTTGACTCAGATTTGTAAATAATTGATTTATTCTTTTACTGTAATTTTTTTTACTCTACTTGACCAACCAACTCTACAACAATCATACATGCAGATAATAGCAACCATTTAATCTCTTTACTGCTTACATTTCTGGGAGTTTTCCTCTGTTTGGTTTTAGCCACAGCATGACCAGTAGTGTGGGCAGTGGCCCTCTTTTTGCAAACCTTACGAGAGGAAGACCCAAATGTCAGCAAATGACAAATAGCCCATACAATGGAACAGCATAAAGAACTGGCAATGGCTACTGCTATGGTAGTGGACTGCACATCATCATGGAAGAAAATAAAATCTCGGACAACTACAGTTATATACTGGTAAAAATATCCACTCATACCTGCAAAATAACAGTGAAAGCATGATCTGTTTCCATTTTGATTAGGGGTTTATCAGTGTTTCAACTCTGTGGATTAGTATAACAGTATTCAATTAACTTCCAAGATCAGACAATATTGCTGTCAGAACACAAAAGCTTGGCTTCAGATAACTATACAGGTAAATTTTGTAATGATAAAGGACACCTACCTGTGTTGATGTAACCAAATCAATAAACATTCTAATCTCCCAACCTTTCTGTCTCTTATTCATGTAGATGTTAGGTCATACCTTCAATTATACAGACAATCTTCATCTAATATGGCTGATGACTAACAGGTGACATTAACATCAAATATTTAAGGAATCACTGTCTAGTTAGTAGAGTATGCCAGGGCATCAACGATCGTTGGAAGCGTGGGATAATTTGCATAACGGGCGAAGCCCGTTATGCATAAATTATCCCACGTTTCCAACTATCGTTGATGTCCCTGGCATACTCTACTAACTAGATAATGATTCCTTATATTTCCATTTCATTTTGAAATAAAATTGAATATTTAGATTTTAAAAATGTAGACTTATAGATTTAAATTACACGAGGCCTCACATGTCAATTTCAATAGTCCCCGCCCACTGACGTCAAACATAAAGACAGCCGCACGAGATTTACATGCATATTAGGCCTCCTTAGCGTCAGACAAAAAGATAGCCGCACGAGAATTACATGCATATTAGGCCTTCTTAGCTCCTGACCTTTCGCTTGGCGAAATTTGCATTCCGTTAGAATGATCAAGAAATCAACTCTCCTAACTTTCAAAGAGTTATCACAGAGAAAACAAATAGAAATGGAAATATTTTGTTATTTGTCTATTTCTTAGTTATCACCCAGTCAAAATTTGTGATAGAAACACAAAAGGATAAATGCATGCCTAATACAATTACAGACTCACAAGTGCATTTGTGTGTGTGTGTGGTTGGGGGTGGGGGGATGGGGGGGGGGGTTAGGGGTCATGCTATTTTAATTACTGAAGCACACTATAATACAGCATTCTTATATTTCAGGGAGTAAAAAATTAGGTGTTTTCCCCCTTTTCAGTAATAGGAAAATTTCTGGAAAATTTAGAATCCTTCACACATTATTTGATCTGATGGCAACTTTGAAAAATCCACACAGTACCTTGACTCTTGCACTCATGATTCTTGACATTCAGAAGCTTGATACAATAATATGTATCAAACTTTGAGGTGGTTGCTAAAATGTGATGCCTACAAATTTCATCCATCATTTTACTGTTTTAGAAAGCAAATATTCGAAGGCCAACAAAATAATGTTCAACTCCAGCCTAAAGTATTATACAACTTTCACACAATTTTGATGTGTTCTTTAAAATGAAATGAGTTCCTCAACAATATGAAATTAATCCAAAATTTTATGAAAATATAACATGCACCATTTCTTAAATCCTGGACCATTCAGAAACTATCATTTCTTTCTAATTATTGTAAATTTAATAAAACAATAACATTCTGGTGAGAATTTCTACAATAAATATTTTAGTGTAAAATTCAATTGTTTATTGATATCTCTTTCTGCAAAAATGAGACAGGTCCTCAAACTTTTTGGTCAACCCTCACACTAATCTTGCTGAGATTTGACTTGGCTGAATATTTGCTGAGTTGAATCTCAGCTGAGATTATCCTCACACTACCCATTATAACCATTCACAAAATTTGCTAGAAGTCCAGATCAGAGAAGATATGCATTTTAGGAAATCTCAAGCTAGGGCCACTCCTGAACCCAGGAGTTCATGAATCAGTAGAAGGCCAGAATATGATGCAAACAATTCGGTTTTCAATTTTTCAAAAAAAAAAAAGAAAAAATACACTGAGTAAAGCATGATTATCTAAGCCCCATACAATTGACTGAACCATAAATGCAAGGATCATTAATTTCAAATATATATTCTACTTATGACAAACTTAAGTGTCTTTACTCTAAACTAACTTAAGTAAAGGAGGTATCACTTTAAAATAACTTAGTAAAGGAAGTATTACTTTAAATAAGTATTTTTTTCCCATCTGTAAATATTTTACTTTTTCTTCAATTGCAACAGATTATAGTTTATCTTTTTTACTTCACCTCTATATAGTGGTCAGTGAAGTGTTAAGACTAAATTACAATTAATTTAAATACAATTCTTATATCACTAAAGAAATCAATAGAATCAGCTGGGTAGTTTTAATAGCATCATAATACTTGATGTTATCTCCAGGAAATGATATATGATTTTGTTGCTTGTTTTAAATTTGTATGTCATCATATATATATATTCCTTTTACATGTGACATACCCTGACATATAATCATATTTCATGTACCTGTAAAACACATGAAAAATCCTCAGTCAGACTAAATGAAAGGCTATCCAAGGGTGATGATCTGCTTTTCTTTTCTTTTCACTGGAAATGAGGAGAGGAGCAGATTGTCACCCTTGGTTAGCAAAGATATTGAAAAGTAATTTAAGAATTTGAGTTTTAATATTACTGTATCAGCATGCACACAAAATGAAGTGTAGGACAATTCAACCAAAAATACCCAATTCTTGTAAGATTCAGATACCACTGTAAATTAATCTCCACTTTTCTGTACAGATACATGTATCAGAATTATAAATTTCCTCTGCAGGTACACATTATTTCATCATCATTCATGTGTGATTGTGACCATGTATGACCTTATTGATTTCAGATGTTGTTTTTTTTTTTGAAAGGGGGATACAAAGCATTAGGAAATAAAATACAAAAACATATATTCATCCATCTTATTGCAAACTACCACATGTATTTTATTTGCAATTATTGATACTAGACTTTTTTAGGATGTACACAAAATATAAAATTGTTAGTAAATTACGAATAGTGCAGGAAAAACAGAATAAATCCATAGGCAAATGGATTTTGAATGACAGGGAAATTGCAAACAAACAAATGTAGAGAATTGGCAGGGGGAAATTTGTGCATGAAACATTATCTGTGCCATCAAACGTTCAACATTTATGCAATATACACATAACAAAATCAATCAACATTTAAATAAATGGTTCCTTGGCATTTACTAACAATTTTTGTAAACGTTTATTACCATTTTAACCTGGGGGATCTCTTATCATAAACAAAACAAGGATAGTATCTTGTCTTAGCTCTTACCTACATAATTACCTATATGCACCATTTCTAACATAAGTTCCTCTTAATGTACACTTAAACTTATAACCCTATAGCTGCAGAACTGTAGCGTTATCAGTGTTTTCCCTTTATTTCAAAGTAAAGGGTTATAGATCAGTTGTAATAGACTTTGGGTTGAAGTTTATGACAAATCTCTGTGGACATTACAACACTAAAATTTTAATTTTTTTTTATTTCAGAGCAGCATTTTTATTAATTGAAGTTGTCAATTTGGCTGGTAGCTGGTTCTTAGGGAAAACACTGGTTATGGTTTTATATTCTAATCTTTTACTATAATGCTACAGATCTCGTAATGCAAATAAGGTGCAACTTACAGCGTAATTTTTCTGCGCACGCTTGGGGAGAATTTCTCCACTTTCCAGCATAGTTCAATCAACTAGCTTTCGCTCCCTATTTCTAGACATATTCTGTTACCAACCTGTATGCTTTATCCACCTCCTAACCCTTTATACAGTTGTCTATACAGGCCAATAAACCCCCATTTTATTCTCTGTCGGATGGCAGAAAATTCAAAACAAGCGAGTTTATTGGTCGACAAAGACATCAATAAAGGGTAAGGAAAAAAATAAAATATACAGGTTAGTTAAAGAATATGTTTTAGAATTAGGGAGTGAAAGGTAGTTAATTGTCCAATGCTGGAAAATGGAGAAATACATCCCCAACTGTGCGCAGAAAGATTGCACCACATTTTCTTTACGGGATCGATCTGTAGTGTTATGTTAAAAGACTAAAATATAAAACCATAACGCTACAGTTCTGCAGCTAATAACCATACAAGAACAAAACAACTAAATTCAATACTAATGATACTATCCGAGTTTAGATGTTTTTACATTATTATAGAAAAAAATATAACTGAACGTTCAAATATTTATAATAAAAATATCATAATAAATGTTGAACATGCTGAGATAATTTTGAGCTTTTTTTCACTGTCAAAACAACTTCGTATCGTAGTATCAATGAAACATAATAGTGATGAAAACAAAACAATTCTACTAAAACCTAAAATACCTTACCATTCGGCATTAATACGACAGAGCCTTCTGACCAGACGACGGTTCCAAACAACTTTAACAAGACTATTGTCAAAATTGGATTATATATTTTTCGCATATCGAACCCGAGATTTAATGAAATGAAATTTTACTGAAACTGTTGTTGAAAAAGAAGACTGAGACACAGAGGGTTTGCTCTAATTGTATTTAATCTTTATTTTTTGTTTTCTTTCCTCTATCTTTCTCCACCATGATCACCACCTAAACAACTGTTGTCCGTCGTCCGTCCGTTCATCTGTAAACTTTTCACTTTTCAACTTCTCAATAACCACTAAGCCAATTTTAACCAAAGTTTGTACAAAGTATCCTTGGGTGAAGGGAAGATCTTTTTTTTTAAAATGAAGGGCCAAGATAATCAAGAAAAGACAAAAATAGGGTGGGGTCATTAAAAAATATTCTTCCCAAGAACCATTGAGCCAGAAAAACTGAAATATATGTGGAAGCATACTGGGTAGTGTAGACTCTAAATTTTTCAAATCATGGCCCGGGGGTAGAGTGTGGGCAAAATAGGGAATCAAAGTTTTACAATACGTTGAAATATAAAGGAAAAATCTTTTAAAATCCTCTTCTCAAGAACCACTGGACCAGAAAAGCTGAAACTTATGTGGAAGCATCCTGAGTTAGGGTAAATTCTAAATTGTTCAAATCATGACCCCCGGTGTAGGGTGGAGCCAAAATAGGGAATCAAAGTTTTACATTGAAATATAGCCTATAGGAAAAAGTCTTTAAAAGTCTTCTTCTCAAGAATCACTGGGCCAGAAAAACTGAAACTTATTTGGAAGCTTCCTGGGATAGTGTAGATTCTAATTTGTTCCAATCATGACCCCCGGGGCAGGGTGGGGTCACAATAGGGAATCGAAGTTTTACATTGAAATATATAGGAAAAATCTTTAAAAATCTTCTGGACAAAAACCACTGGACCAGAAAAACTTCCTGAGGAAGTGTAGATTCTAAATTGTTCAAATCATGACCCCCAGGGGTAGGGTGGGGCCACAGTATGAATTACAAGGGGGGAATCTGGTGAAGAACAGCAGGGCCAAGGTTACTAAGGTGAGCGATGTGGCCCATGGGCCTCTTGTTAATAAGTACGATGTCCGATAGCGACCGCCACTTAACAGTCTACGTAACTGTCTCTGACGGCGTGTTTTTCTGAACGCGCTGTTGAGCTTTTGCAAATGGCCCTATCCGGACACCATAGTCTCTTGTACAGGTGCAAAATGACAAAATGTGCATGTACAAAATACACCAAAACCTTAGTTGCTTTCTGTACATTTTCCTGACGAGGAAAAAAATCTATTTCCCAAACGTGAAAAAAACTATTTTGCGGTGGTGGTTGTGGGGTCCACGTTTTCCAAGGGGGGGTGGGGGGGTGGAGGGGGTGTCCAAAGTCCTTTTTTATTTGCTTCAGTATATACTTTAATAACTCTGCAAATTCCAGGGGGTCCGGAACCCTCCCCCTATATAATCTTTCACGATTTTTTAATGTATAGATTGTATCTTTTATATTATGCAATCCTTTTTAGGTCAGGATCGTGGGCAAGCATATTTATGTTAAATAATGATACCACGGTTACCGTATACCAAAAAAAAAAAAAAAAAAAAAAAAAAAATCAAAAAACTTACAACGATTAAGTGAATTAACACTATATTTACTGTGATAAAGTAAACAAATTTTACGAGTGAAAAAGACATCATAAAAATACGCTATTGGTGACTTTAAAATTTGGCATTTGGTTAATAAGCTGAAGGGGGGTGGGGGGTACTCCTCCATTTTAACATACAATGTGTTTTCTCTCTGTTTGTAGATTGCAGATATGTGCATTAATTTTTCTGATTTTATCATGAAATCAACTTAATAATTGTAAGGTATTTACTATCAATTTATTGTTTAATTATTTTTGACTGAATTGTTCAAACACGATCGCGAAAAGCAACGCATTTTGTTGTTAAGGTAGAATGTCCCTCTGATAAGAGATGTAACTTCCAAGGAATTAATTCCAAGCTGTCCGGTGAATTGTCTTACCAGATTTAACAATGAGGACCCTTACATGTATACGCAATTCAATCAAGTCTGATTTATGTTACAAATTTTAGCGTTTTATATGTCGTCTTTTGCCAATATTTTTGATAGTTACATATGTATACTCAGTATTTGACCTAACACTTTTGCACTCAGTTCCTTAAAACTGTTCAAATTGAGATATTTCTATCTTTAAATAAACAATTTTTAAAATGCTAAAATAAAATCATGTATCAGATGTAGAATTTACATTATAGTTACATACACGTTTCCCTTAAAACTATTTTGAAGAACGATAACTCTTGATGATGGAAAGATAACTCTTGTAGATTGATGCATTTTTTTTTTACAAACACAAATAACAGATTTTTTTATATCATGATTAGACTTAATAATCACTTCTGAAAAAGTAAGCAACGCTTCATACTTCAAACTATTTTCCATCTGAATCTAATGTTATTGTTGTTGATAAAAATCAATTTTGGAAAAAAAATGGTGAAATTTAGAGCACAGAGTTATTACACCTTAAATGAACTGTGCACAATATGTCAATTTGTACTTGTTCGGAAGCAATGTTTAAGTGTAAGCAATTTTTTGGTGTATTTTGTAAATTTTGTTAATTTGTATATTTACAAAAGACAATTACTTAGATCGCTATTGGCCATCATATATAAGAAATCAACGTCAGCAAGTCAGTTAGAAGCTAGTTCCACCCTAAAAGAAATACTTAAGTGTGTAATCAGTTTTAATCTGACGAACATTCAATGATTCTGAAAAAAAAAAAAACAAGATGTGTTTGTGAAACACTGATGCCCCCGTATGGCAACTTATATAGCGAAGGTTAAACGTTCTCAATTGCAAATTAAATATGTTGGTATCCAAAGTAAGATTATACCTGTGAAATATGAAAGCTCTAGCCTCAACCATTGAAAAGATATGGAAAAAGTTTAAAGGTTAAAGTTTTTCAAAAGCGAGTCAAACATCAAGGTCATGGTCAAATGGTCAAAATTAATGGTGTCCGAGGAAAGGCCTTTTCACAAGAAATACACATGTAAAGTATGAAAGCCCTAGCACCAACCTTTCAAAAGTTATGGCCAAGGTTCAATGTTCTTAAAGTAGGTCAAACTCCAAGGTCAAGGTCAAAAGGTCAAAGTTGTTGGTATCCAAAGTAAGGTCTTGTCACAAGGATCACATATGTGAAGTGTGAAAGCCCTAGCACCAACTGTTCAAAAGTAATGGCCAAGGTTAAAGTTTTTAAAAAGTATGTCAATTTAACCTCTAAGGTCAAAGTCAAAAGGTCAAAGTTGTTGGTATCCAAACAAAGATCTTGTCACAATGATTACATATGTGAAGTATGAAAGCTCTAGCACCAACTGTTCAAAAGGTATTCCCAAGGTTAATGTTGGGTAAAATTTTGTAAAACTGGGTCAAACTTCAAGGTCAAGGTCAAAAGGTCAAATATGATGGTACCCAAAGAAAGGTCTAGTCACAAGAAATACACATGCGAAATATGAAATCCATGGCTCCAACCAATCAAAAGTTATGGGCAATGTTAAAGTTTTTGCGGACAAACAGACAGATAGACAGACAGGCAGATGGACGGACAGGGCAAATACTATATGCCCCCGAATTTTCGATTACGGGGCATTAAAGTTACTTACAAAAATTTATATACAGTGTAATTGTATATACAATATATATATATATATATATATATATATATATATATATATATATATATATATATATATATATATATATATATATATATATATATATATATATATATATATATATATATATATATATATATATATATATAAAATTCAAAAGTAGTTAAAAGATGGTGTCACACAGTAAAAATAATCATAAAAGAAAAAGAAAATGCAGTTTCCAAAATCTCTCCACACCAGCGCTTTCTGGATTTAATAATCCGTCTTCAGGTGTACTTACATTTGAAATTTTCAAAAGATTTTTTAATTATTTCTGTGATGGGATAAAAAGACTCACGGACATCTTTACATTTCTGTTAACTGCGAGCTCTTTCGCATCCTCACTTCACAGAGAGCGTAAAAATTCCATTGAGAAATTAAGCAATTAACCTTCAGTAGGACTCATTCATTTAAACGTTTCTTGATATACAGCTATATCTATACGGAACAGAGAGCATAAATTACAAGGCAAACCTAAACATGCCACAGATCAAATGGAAGCAGATCTTTTCATATATCAATTCACTGATGTGATCATTGATATGAAGATACAGAATGATTTATTCCATACTTATGGCCCAGACATGAAAACATAAAAAAGGCTCCGAAATCCCATCCTCATTTTCCGAAAAATTATGCAATTCACAAAAGATTGATGTCGACTGCCGCTATTTACACCGATAAGTTGTTTAGTTTTACATGTTAAAGCTATCGATATCTGAAATTAATTTAACTTCTACGATTATTTGTCATTTAGTGCTGGTAATTTTGATTTGAGATCCGCACCTAAGTCATCAATTATTTTTTCAGAGCATGTAACTGTCAGAGAGAATCGGGGATACTTTTCACCTGGAGAGCGCCTCTAGAGTGATTTAGAATCGCAAGGTAAATTCCGTTAATACTTTAGGTTTTATACAGAATTTAGGTTATCTGAATGTATTCTGAAACCATGCAGCACACCGGATATATTGAACTCGGATACATTGAACTCTGGCTTTCCTCATTACAGGCATCGATTCAATCTATGATCACATTTACTTCTGTCCCTTTGCTTTAAGAAACTTTTTTTCAAAAATTTTATTTGACAGCACGATAGCGCGATGACACAATGATCCGATGGTAATGACGCGATAAAGCGATGACACGATGACGATGCCTTATCGCACCATTGCACCATCGCACGTGCACCGTCGTGTCATTATCATCACACCATTGACTTTGGATCGATTTTTGCGATGCTGCAGTAATGAATTACGTGGCCCAATATACGGAAGGCGGATACCATACTTTTCGCAGATCAA